GGGATCGTTTTCTGGCTAAGGGGGTTCGCTGGCAAAAGGGGGGTTCGCTGAAAAAGGGGGGTTCGCCCGAACCCCTAAAAACCCCCCTGGCTACGGGCCTGAATGTAGCCCAATGCATTATTATTGTTCTGCCACAAAGGCTTACTGCATAGATTTTTGGTCAGCTGGCTCCCTGAGTCAGTCGGGGTCTTGAATACTGGATTTGTCTTGTGATCTTGGTATTCTTTGCTGATCTTTTGCCTAAACCTAATCCACTTCATGGACCATACTACCATCAGAACCAATTCCACAATGCACTGAGGTGTGCAAACCATGTCACCCAGTAAGCTGATTTTTGTCTGTTGACTGTTTCACATCTCATGGAAACATCACAGTTGCTCATAAATAATCCTTAGTTTCAGAACCTCAACAATAAATTTCAAGAAAATTTATTTGTGAAAAATGTTATACCAGCTAAAACGATAAATGCACTGTATAGAAGAACGAAAGATTGAGATACTCGTAAACCTTTCTCCTTGTCTTTACCCTGTTACAGAAAAAAAAAAGGAGAAAACAAATTTAAATAGCAGCAAAATTATCATTTCATTTTATTATGGCAAACAGCAAGTACAGGACAGTGACCATGTCTGAAGTCTTATACTGAGGTTTAAGGGGCAGAGATGAAACAGGCAACTGCAGGATTTGAACCAAGTACCCCTTGATTGGAAGATAACCATCTTAACCACCAAGCTACTGCTTCAACTTCCTGATCTTAACATATACATTGAAGATGAACATGATGAGTAAAAACATAAAATTCTAAAGTGGAATTTTAAGAAATATTTCTTTAACATTCAACAACAAGTACCAATCAAAATGGAACTATTTGATTCCCTATAAACTATAAAAAAAAAAATGGGATATGATATCACCGACAGCTGTCTGCAACACTTGGTTATAAAAAAAAATGAAGCGTGATGAATTTCAAGGAGAAACTGATGACATTTAAGTTAATTCAGTGATAAATACTACTGATTTTGGCATTGACAAGGAAAGCCTTCCCTTTGCGCTGGGAACGCTATGTAATGTAGTGTAGTAAATTTCTTTGAAAATATTGTAGCAAACAGTGTACTGACTTTAAGGAAAATAGGCCTAATTTTTCTTATGATGTTTTCTTTATTTGTCAGAAAAAACATGGTTTGGATTTGGATTTCTTCAGTATGAAACACACCGAAGGATGCTTCCAAAGACAAATGAAATGAGCAGTAAACTGGGAGGCAATCTCAGTTTCAAAGAGAGTGGTGCGCTAATGCATTCTCCGCCATCCTCCTGAAACACCAGGAGCTCATTGATGTAATTAAAACCAGAGACAAAAAACTGAAAAGAGATCTCCATAGGTTAGCAAACATATACCATGACTACCACCAGTTTAGCTGACTGAGCTAAATTTTAAATTTCTACCTCTATACTAAACTCAAAAAGCTAAATTTTGATAGGCAAGCATTTAAACAACCAAGTTACTGCTCTAATCCTCAAAAAAAAAAAAGTATTATAACTACAAGTTTGACTTGTGGCAAGGCGTTTTGATTCTCTTGGATTATTCAGTTATCACAAAGATAGATTGATAGGAACAGCTATCTTGATATGATAACACCAGGAGTTTCTAAGGCTTATAGTGTTAATTACAGTACTAGATGAATATACAGTTATTTAACATGTAAATCTACTCACTTTACTATCAAAACTCTTTGGAAAAATCTCAGGATATTTTAGATTAGGAGTTGTACTTCTACCAGCATCTCTACTTGCCATCTCTTCAACCTCAGCAGCTTTCATACTCTGAAGCGACACTTTGGTTGTCGTGATTTCTATGTTACGGACGTTACCAAAGAAGTCTGTGACAAGGGCCTGGCGGGCATCACCCTGGAACAGATCCGTTCTAACACCAGGTGTTGATTTACACTGCTTCCATGGGCATACTTCAAACTTGTTGGCGTAAGGAAAAAATAATTAATCTTATGAAAATAATAAGTAAATGGGTAATAAATAAGTAAATAAGCAAAAAAAAATCAATTAAATATATAAAAACAGTTAATAAATTAATTTTTAAAAATACAGTAAATGAATTAACAAGTAAATGTATAAACAAAAAATCAATACCCTATAAACTTGCGTATAAGACGCTCCCCCTTCCCCCCACTTCACTGTTGGAATTCATACTTTTACTGGTTTTTTTATGGTCTTCATACTGCATCTAGCTGGCTAAAAACGGAGCCAAATGCCAGGCTAATCTTCCAAATATTACTTTATGGGATTTTAAATGTTAAACCTTATTTCCCCGAATTTAAAACTGTGTTCATTTATAAGCCTTTCAAAAATCTAAAACTTGAATGTCGCAGGTATAACACCCCCTGTTTTTTATTGTAATTTGCTATATGAAGCCTTGTCTTAAACGCATGTATACGTTATTAAAAATAAACAAATGTGTTAAAATAACATGATATACTTACAAACTTGCCCATTTTCTTTGTGCTTCCCAGTGACACCAATTCCAAGAACTCCAGGGCGTGGTATGTGTACCTGTCAATCACATACACACCAATGGCAGGATCCACATGATGCTAAGTGAAAAAAATAAGAATACAATATCAATTGTTCAATATCCTAGCCTACTAAATGTACAGTCAGACAGCAAGATTTCTTTTGTTTAGTGATGTTAATTATTTTGCTGCAGTCCTCAGTATGGGCAGATTCAAGGGGTACAGCCAGGACCCCCTTAATTTTTGAAAATCATAATCATATTTAGGTCTGAGAGTGCCATTTCCAAACATCTACAAGTGCCATACAGTAATCATCAAATTTTTGCCTCACCAACCAACCAACTAACCGTGGGGGGGGGGGGGGGGGGGTGCACTCCCTCCACAAAAAGCTTCCCCCCCCACCCAGTCGCTTCCCCATTCGAAAATTTTAAAGCAAAAAAAATTAGGCTAGGCTTATGCTCAAGAAAACTTCCCTTTATTGACGTTCATCAAAACACCATATTATGTATTTATTCGTCCTTCATTTAACAGCAACTAATAATAATAATAATAATAATAATAATAATAATAATCAATATTTATAAAAATGGTCGCTGTCACACATAATAAAAAACACATACATAAATTATTCTAAAACTGTTGGTATGATTCGATGCATCGAAAGGTCTAGCATAGTAATTTTCCTGGTGCATGCAGAATTGTTGATGTAGGCCTATTTAAAATAAAACTATCTATTGTTAAAACAATTCGGTAATTTTAATTAAGGCAAGAAATTGTAATCGACAATAAAAGTTTCGTTTTGTTTATTATGGTATTATCTCACTTCTTAAATACTGCGTTCAAGAGACATACTTTAACATATCTGTCACGGTTAACGTGTATTCGGGAAGCAATATTTTTCAGTGGGCGTGGCCACCGAAAATAAATTCCACGCCCCCTCATATTCTGGTCGCGCCCCCCAGCAGCCCCCCTTTTAATACTGCTAGATACGCCACTGGGTCCCACTCTATTTAAAATTCCTGGATTCACCACTGCTCTGAAATGGTTTTCTTGTCTTACTAGACAGACTTGCAGTTTTATACCTATAGGCATGACGATGTTATGTCGAACCCCATATATGGGCATGTCACACATGTATAGGCAAATCACAGGTATTTGTCACAGAAAACTTTTTATTTTGGACACAGCTTAAGATTAAGTTACAAAATCTCTAAACCAAACTAAACATAGACATGCCATAAACAATAAATTATATTTACCGACAGAGAGTCCTCTCCAACTTGACTGCTTCCAATACCAATCAAATTAGGTGAGTAGAAACGTTGGTACATTGAGTTGGCTTGACAAGTATCAACAATGAACAACAGCTCATGATATCTACAAATTAGGTCAAATTCAAAATTAAAATCCAGTCTACTGTACCATTATGATTATCTATACATTATTACTCAACAACACCACACCCCTGAACACCACACCCAAACACAGAGCACTAAACTATATTGGCCTGCACCACTGACGCCACCACCATTATTCACAGTTAAACCATTCCATTCTGGCATAGGGTTAGACAGGTTCACATGATGGCACTCTTTCACGGCAATCTGTCTTGGGCCAGATCCATAGCCTTCTAATCTCTATGGATTTTCTAAAATCTACCACAGATGGGGGGTCTATAGCACCTAAGCCCTGGCTCCCCCAGCCATGGTTAGGACTGAGGTAAGAAAATTTATGATTATGGCACTCTAATAATTCAATTTCAATATAATTTTCTTTTTTCTCCATTATTTTTTTTTTATAATTTTGAAACATTAAAGTGGCCCAGGTCGGCTGAATCCATCCCCCCACCCCACATGATTCCCCCGCTGCTTATTGAACTATCCCTACAGAAGTTGTTCACTCGGTACCATAAATTGTACATCCGCACACGATCTTCCTCATGGTACATTTTACTTGCATTACTACAAACCATTATTTTTTCTTTTCAAATAATTATACAGTACTACTAAATATCAAAACTATGATATTTAACTGTATCTTTCATAACAAATAACAAATAATAATGATAATATTAGTAATAAATAAATTCATAATAAATTCATAATAATCACCGTTGTTTCTGCCACATTTGTTGAAATGCATCAGCCAGCTCCACGTTTGAGATTTCTTCAGCATCTTGGAACTTGAGAAACCCGTCACCACCGTGACCAGTCATGTAAATGAGAATGTTGCTACGGTCATCTGATAATAACCTCTTGGAGCGGGGGGTGCCTGGGGGAAGGCGTCCTGTTAGAACCCGAATGAAGTTCTCAACAGTCACCTTGTGAAAAAAAGAAGCAAGATTTTTCCAAACACTGAAGATCACAGAATCTCAATGGAAGATATAACAAACTATTGTAATACCAGATTGAAAATGAGACAAGATGTAGCACAAGAATGCTTGCTAGGGTTTTAGCGAGTTTGGATTTAATAATTCATTCGGAATTAGAAGAGTTTCAGATTTTAAGAACACATGTATTATTTTTAATTGTATTATAACTATGTTTAACAAAATCGCCGGAGAAATGTTTTAGCGTTCCCTTTAGCATGGGAATGATAAGTTTTAGCGTGTTATGTGCAGGCAATAATCAGACTGTTTGCTTTAAAACTGCCCATGCATGTCCATACGCATGCCCAGAACGATCTATCTATCTTGGGATTTTCCACATGTACTTGACAGTACCTGTAAATCTTTGCTGCACATGAGGTGAAAATAGGGTCGCTTAGTGAGGCAATATCTCCGCTGCTCGAGATAGTAATTACTTAAGAGCCTAGCATAGGCCTAACCTAGACAAAGATTAAATTTGTTTATATGAAAATTTGCTTTGGCCATTTAGGCAAATGATTTCAATTTTTTTTTTTCACCAAACAGTTTCCCAATTCGCGTTTGCGAATTGGCGAATGGCTAGCGTGAGCATAGCCAACAGCTAAATGTCCTATCTGAAGAGCAAAGTAATTAGAGCAAAGTGTATTACCAAAACACACATACAAGTGTTTACAGCATTTGAAGGTCTCAAACATTTTCCATCTCACACCAAATAATAATTGACATGTCGACAAGGATGCGAAGCCCCGCCCACAAAGTCACGAAAACCTTAGACAATGGCGGCTAGACTTACCAAGTTGGTGAAGATTTTCTTTGCTATCATCCTTCTTTAAGAAAGAGAATTCAGGGTAGGCGGTATGAAAATTAATCATATATTCATAGTGTTAATCTATTTCATGGGACATGGCGGGGAAATTGTTGTAAAAGCCTCTGTATTTCGCTCCCAAAGGAAGAGGGAAAAGCCGCTTTCAGTCAACCTTGTTGTCGGCAAAGGCCAAGTCACTGATGCGCATTGCTCATGTAAATTTGGGTATCTATAACCAAGCATATACATCTAGGCCTAGGCTCACGTATGTTTTGCGTTTAAACCAGCTGAAGGAAATTAAAATGTCAGAGAAAAAGTTTTTGATCAAGTGACTAAATGACATTCGCTGATTAGTCAGTTTATCTGTCGATCAAATCTCGTTGAGATGTTAACAGTAATGCAACGGAGGACAAAAAATAAAATCAACAGATGAAAACCTGAGCACCAACCTCATAGCCTCTATAATCAACTTCAATGTCATCCCCATAGACATTTATGTGCTGCCTAGCATTGTTGAAGACAGCAGCTAAAAAAAACAAAAACATTTTACTATATTAGTTCTTAATCAATAAACATATGATTCAATCAACGATTGAATTGCTAAAAAAATAGGCTCCCATTGGGAGCATGTGTGTACTGCTTGACATTGATTATTTTTTTTACCACTTATGTGGAGACTATTTGAGAGACTCTTAATTTCTATCTTTAGCTTATCACGCAATGGTATCACATAGTATCACAAGTTCTGGCGGGCTTTCTAGACTGCAGCACAGTTCATGATGGTATTGAAATCAATACCAGACATAACGATCGTTTGCGCTTCCGTCATCAAGCATCAAGGACCCAAGCATTTTTCCACTCAGTATCCATCAGGTTGTTTTATGTCTAGGACCAGGTAGCTAGATTGTTAACTGACGCTGCAGTCCTAGACAGCCCATCCTCCTTTCTTAGTAAAGGTTCATAATTATTTTGATTCGTTGTAATGTTTGTTGTTTGTGTGTGTTGCTGAATTTGAATTTGGGTCAACCGGCTTGGTTCACTTTGGTTGACCCTGGTCTCCCCAAATTTCAGATTTTTTTGTCACTCTCTATTTTGTTCATGTTTGTTTGTTTTGTTCTGTAATATTTCTTCCACTCTAATATCAACATATAATATAAAAAATGGCAATAACAACATAATTCAGTGAACAGAATAATGAGAAAGGAATGCAGAGGATAGCTCTATATTGCCCCTGTCTCTTATACACATCTAGATGTGTATAAGAGACAGAAATAGGGTCGCTTAGTGAGGCAATATCTCCTCTGCTCGAGATAGTAATTACTTAAGAGCCTAGCCTAGGCCTAACCTAGACAAAGATTAAATTTGGTTATATGAAAATTTGCTTTCGCCATTTAGGCAAATGATTTCAATTTTTTTTTTCACCAAACAGTTTCTCAATTCGCGTTTGCGAATTGGCGAATGGCTAGCGTGAGCATAGCCAACAGCTAAATGTCCTATCTGAAGAGCAAAGTAATTAGAGCAAAGTGTATTACCAAAACACACAAGCAAGTGTTTACAGCATTTGAAGGTCTCAAACATTTTCCATCTCACACCAAATAATAATTGACATGTCGACAAGGATGCGAAGCCCCGCCCACAAAGTCACGAAAACCTTAGACAATGGCGGCTAGACTTACCAAGTTGGTGAAGATTTTCTTTGCTATCATCCTTCTTTAAGAAAGAGAATTCAGGGTAGGCGGTATGAAAATTAATCATATATTCATAGTGTTAATCTATTTCATGGGACATGGCGGGGAAATTGTTGTAAAAGCC